AAGTTTTACTGTGGTATTATATCTAATATCTCTTATAGACGTATTTTTGAAGCATCCGAGCATGATAAGATAGAATCGAATTCTCCATAATTAATAGTATCAGGCGTTACTTTGCGGAAATACTACCATAACATAGTCGGTGGGCGCGGGTAGTATGGTTGGGTACTTATGCCGGTGTTACTAAGCGGAAATCATAAGCTAAGTAATTTTATCTATTTTAGGGTGGATACGACCAAACAATATATATTATATTTTATTGCCTAAAAGTCCTTGTCAGCCAATTAAGAACTATCAGGCAGATAAACTACATCTTTTGTGTAGCGCTAAATGTCAGATAGCCATCTGAAACCTTATCTAGAACCGGTGAAACCAGTAGCGGCGTAAGGGGGGGGCGGTGGGGGCGGTCCGCCCCGGGTGCCAAGCATCAGGGGGTGACAGAAGTCGCGCAGATTAGTACTCACTGACTCATCTGCATGGCAAATCTGCGGTCTATGTCATGATACGGGGGGTGCGATTGTCTTTCAATCGTCGAATCGGTAGGTAACCCCAAAATCCTGGGGGGNATTGTCTTTCAATCGTCGAATCGGTAGGTAACCCCAAAATCCTGGGGGGTACCAGGGGGTGCCTTAGGAATTATGACGGGGGGGGGGGGGATATCGCCCCGGGTGCCAACCCACGCTACGCCGCCACTGGGTGAAACTTACCCATAATATCAAAAAGGCATTCTGCCATGAACAGGGGTTGTAGTTGAATGGTAGGTATAATAACATTCACTCGTATAATCAAAATGCATAAAAGGCAATCAAACTTAAACATTTTTTAAAGCAAAATCGCTCTTATTCCCCTGGCATAAGGTGCCACAGTATTTACCTTGATGTGCCCTCTGTGCCAAGACAAGTCCTCTTAGGAGCCGCTAAATGACAGTCTATTGAATTGAAATACCATCGACAATTACAAGATGCATCCAAGTACATAAACCACCTTAATGATGTTTGAATAGAGTTCAAAATGTGAAGTAGAGAACAACTCAAATATTAGCACAGCCGGTAGTGAACCCAGAAACTTTCTAGTTCCGACTAATTGAACAAACTATTGATTTGGAATATGACGTTAATGTAAATTGCAATATGGATTCAATAATTTGAATAGGAAAATTATCCTACTAATCCTACTAATATTATAAATGCGAAAGTTTGTATGGATGTCTGGATGTTAACATGTTTGTTCCTCTTTCACGGGAAAACTACGGAACGGATTTTGATGAAACTATACAGTATTATTGTTTATAACCCAGAATAACATAATTAGGCTATAGTTTATGACGATCGGAAAACGCAGCGTGGGACGTCCACCTACAAGGTGGACCGACGACATCGTAAAGGTAGCAGGGAAACGCTGGACGCAGGCCGCTACCAATCGATCAACATGGAAAGCATTGGGGGAGGCCTATGTTCAGCAGTGGACGTCCTATGGCTGAAATGATGATGATGATGATTATGACGATCTGTGACAAACTAAATTTCACGCGGGTGAAGCCGCGTGCAAAAGCCAGCAAGGAATATTTCTGGCTAGGCTAATGTATTGCGTATGTCTATAGCGCTACTCAGTCAGTGCCTGACGTATGGGAGCGGCATGGGAAGGTGTTCTGGAGACGTCAAATGTCAGCGAGACTCCAGATATGCTTCAGATTTGTATGCTATGTCAGTTTCACCCCTCTCACACCTCAAATTCAAATTCTTTATTGCTCCAATGTTTATTACCTCAGGCGTTGATTTTTCGTCGGCCGATAGTTTAGTCGGGCAGTTGATCAGTATGGGCATGTATGGGAGTGCGCACACTACGCCGATTCGATTTGGCCGATTCTTCATACAAATAAAATCGGGCACAACTATCGGCCAACTAAAAATCAACGGTGTGCGCCTACTCTTATGGCTACTTTCCGATTCTGTTTATACAGGTGACGTATTTTTAAATCGATCGAATTTCAAATCGCATGCAGATTTGCACAATGGACGTGTTGACACCACCGATCCATTGACATACTTTTTATATTATACCAAAACTACGTTTCCTATCGTTTTTCTATAGAATAAATCCGTTTATGTCGTCACAAAACTTGTATACCTATTACATACAGATATAAGAATAAATTAAAATATTTACACATAACATACATGCATAAATTAAAATTAAAATATGTACTTGAAATTAACTATTTATTTTATTTTTTAAGTGGCATGAAAATTTGCGAATTTCGATGCTATTCGACTCGTTCGCGAAATGTTATTCGGATGCTTTGGTTAATTTCGAGAAGTAGTAAAACTCACAAGTTAATGAAAATATGAAATGGTTACTAACTTACTATATTATTAATTATGTAGATTGACTAGTAGGTGGAATGTTAGAGAGCACGCGGTCGATCGCAAACCCGCTGGATAGACGCCATCACAAAGGCTACTGAGTCCACCATGGTCCAGTGTACTCGCGCCGCCTCTAACCGACAGAAATGGAGGCAAATGATACTAATCACCCCACCGTGTACCTCGTCAGCGCTACCACAACCACTCTGACAAGAGTGCTCGACTAAGAAGAAGATTGACTAGTTATACATAGAATTCTTAAGAGCCTACCTGATACAAAACCGTTATCCATAACCCTAAAACTAACTGACCTAAAAGGCTACATCCATATTCGTTAGCTATATCGGGACAACTATTTCCTCCAAGCCTCTAAATATATGCGAAGTCTGTTCCCGACGCGTCGAGTGACCGAGTGCGGTATATTTTAGGTTCTATCGATTTTCTAAAGTGGTCCTGAATGGTGCACGACCTATTTAGCAGTTGCAAATAAGTTTTGTTTTACAACGAGATGTCCCAGTTTAATAGGACACACCACTGATGAATTATTTGGGACGTACAAAACGGGACGCAGACTGGTGCCGTTTTGATTTGACAAGACTGAGTGACAGGCTGAGGTTTTTGCCATTAATAATCATGAGAATCGGGATATTTTGTCTGTCTACTCGTTTAGGGACTAGTGTCGAAAATATAGTTTTAGACAAGATGTAATGTGTCTGTAAGTTAAAGGAAAAGTAGGAAAATTTTACATGGATGAATTATGAAGATGTTGCGATTTATCATCAAAACCCTTTACTAGACTCTTATCTCATGTAAATGAGAAGTTTCCAATTGGAAATGAATGTGTAATACTTATCCCATCAAAAACAATACTTGTCAAAAAAACCAAGTCTCGCAACTCAGTTGTTCTACGGTAAAAAGTTGTGAGATCCATGTAATACCAAGTCCAGGCCAGGAAATCTTTAACGTTTTACATAAATTATTGACTTGGCCATCGCACTAAATAATTTAATTTACACGTGTTTTCATGCGATGGCCAAGTCAATATATTTATGTAAAACGTTAAAGATTTCCTGGCCTGGACTTGGTATTACATGGATCTCACAACTTTTTACCGTAGAACAACTGAGTTGCGAGACTTGGTTTTTTTGACAAGTATTGTTTTTGATGGGATCTCATTTCTTTTTGTATTTTGTAGACAGCAGTTATGTATCTAGAAAACTGGACCGAAATTGAAAAATTTTACTCGACTTGGCGGTTGCACTACCGTGCCCCCAAATATTTTAGTTTTTCCTTGATTCATACACCAAACACTACTTATATTCCAAATTTGAAGCTTCTAGGTCTGCTAGAAGTGCCTTAGAGTTTTGATGATCGGTGAGTCAGTGAGTGAGTCAGTGAGTCAGTGAGTCAGTCAGTGAGTGACAAAATTAAGTAACTTTGACCCGTTATAATTCTTAAACTACTGGTTCAAATTGAATGAAATTTTAAATATACCGTGTCTTTACAATGCCTGCATAGCTAATGAAAATTCAGCCTTCTAGTTTTATCCACAACGAAGTTACAGGCGGTCGAAAATGGCCTGAATTGCTTCGAGAAAAGGATGGTACGGCCGTGCCGCTTTTTTGCTCGACTTGGTGGGGGCACTGCCGTGCCCCCAGATAATGTTTGTAATTTAGCTATTTATTCAGGCAGCTTTAGCTATAACGTTAATGTGAATTGTTTAGTTGACGGGGATTTTGCGTTTATTGTTTTTCTAAATCTTTATAAACGAATCTGCACGACGTCAAAGTGCGAAGTATCAATGCTGTAAACGTTTAAGTTACAACTTAATTCATAATAAGTCATTTATCACGTTTCTTAGACCTATTAATATTTTGTCTGAAACATTTAGTAGTTTTGTTTTAAAAGAGAGCAGCGTGTGAGTTAAGCTATAGTCTATAGTCTAGTCACGAAAAAAAAAAACATCTTTATTGAATTGGTTCAATCGGGCAACCCTATCTAACGACGTTTCTAATCTCAGCGAGGGCGTGCGGCCCATACAACTCAACAAGATGTGAGTAATAGCCTTTATTGTGGTTTTATTCGACTGTTGTTCTGCAGTCAGCTGTAGTGCAGCGATAAGCGCTATTTGTTTTTATTTCGCTCCTAACGCTGCATACTGGCGTCCGATAACTCGAATAAGAATCTAAGTGGATTCGTTAAACTAATAACGTCGAAGAGCGTCGACTGAGTAAATGTTTAGCTTGGAAAATGTCCAATTAGGCTAACGTTTTCTGTAGTAAAAACACGTTAGACAACACATACAACTCGCCACAATGTTATGACATTAGAAATGACAATTCAAAAGCGTGTAGTAGTTTAGTGTAGTGATTTTAAGATGTACCTAAATATGGCTTACGAAAAAGTAAATAAGTATGCCTGTTTTGTTTATCAACAAAAATTTTTTGAATTGAATTTTAGTACGTCTAAGCCGGGTCAACAAAAACATGTCAACGTTCAACAAAATTGCCTACAAAAAATGTTGAATACTGATTGTGTAGGGCAAAACGCGCTGGAGCTTAAAGTTTGACAGAACAAAATGTTAATAAGAGCTGTGCCTACACGGTTTTGAATTGTTGTAAATAGTAAAAAGGGACTTACTTGCCAAACAGCGGATGCCATAAGTGGTAGGATGCTGGGTCGTGCGGATGCGGCGGCATGTGCGGCGGCGGCTCCCCAAGCGGCGTAGTGCTGCCCACCTCGGGCTCGTCACGCCGCCGGCCCATTTGCGGCGGGTTCGGCGGCCGCCTCCCAGCCACGCCGGACGCCGACGCCGCCGCCGGCTCCATCAGATTATGCAGCGACTTCACACTTATCCGCGGCCGCGGCGACTCCTGCGACCCAGCACTGCTGCTTCTCTGATGAGACTGACTCTCAGATTGCTTCACCGACTGCAAGTAGTTATTGTTCGGGAAGTATGGCGACGTAGGACTCTTCTGCGTCCGCGGGGAACGCTGGCTGCCCATCATGTTCGGATTGAAATACGGTATCTGGAGCCCCGGGAGAGGCATGTTCGGCCGAATATTCGGGTTCATGCCCGGATACATCCCCTGAAGGAACGGATTATGCGGCATCGCTCGCTGACTGTTATTGTAGCTGGGCGTTATCGGGCTGGTCCGAGCCGACGTGTGCGACTTGCTTTGAGTATTTTTAGTGGAATGCACGTAAGGGTTCTGCACGTCGCTCGACTTCGACACGAGATCTTTCATCTGGGCGTCCATGGTGGCGTTTTTCGATCTTTGAGACGCGGTCGCGTTGGCGTGATTCATCGCCTCCTGCCACATCGCGAATTGCAGTCGACTGTCGTAGTCCATCGGAGGCATCATAGGGAACCCTGTGGGGCCCATAAACCGACCCGTCTGGCCGAACATTTGGGAGAAGTCGGGATAATTTGCACCGGAGTATCCGGAGGAATTTAGAGCTTTCAGGAAATCCATGTTTTGCGAGCAGGCAGCCATCGCTTCGAGCTGGCTGAGATAGGGCAGCCACAGCATCTGGTTGAGCGCGGCAGACGTGGCGGCGTCGATATCGCCGGCTAACGCGTCCATTGACGGGATGGGCTTGGGCTGGCTGGTTTGGTCGGGCTGCGGCGCCGTGGAGGTCGCGGGTTCTGCGCTCGGCGCGGGCTTCGCCGGCGCGGGCTTGGCGGCCGGGGTCTCTCTGGGTTTTGCTGTGGCTGTGATTGGAGTTTCATTGTTTTCTATAATTTTTTCAAGTTGTGATAATGATATGACGATTATATCGGGATCTTGTAACAATGCCGGATACGCGAACGCTTCGGGCAACCGTAGTTCCGGCCTTTGTAATAGCAATGCCGGGATTTCTTTCGCAGGCGCCGCTAAGATATGGTTAAGTTTATATTTTGGAACTAATAATGGATCTGGAATGTTAAAGTCGGGACTGAGTTTCAGAGCCAACAACTGTTTCAGCGGACTCGCGTCCTCGTTCAACTTCGGAGCAGGTGGCTCAGGCTTTTTGTGCTTGGGATCTGAGTTTTTATCCTCACTGCATTTATTAAACACTTTACTTATTTTGGCTAAATCTTCCGCCGATTCCCTCTTGATTCGCTTCTCTTGGGGCTCCCCGAACTCTTTCGTCATCTTTCTGATTTCATCGGAGCAGCTGGAGACAGTGGGGCTCGCAGATTTTCTGTGTTTACCCAAATTCAGCGGTTCGCACTGTTGTTTTGTGATAGTAACTTCGGACGTATACATTTTTGGCGAGGGCGACGACAGGAGGGTTTCTAAAAACAGTGTCTGTTTGCTCTTCGTTAGTGGCATAGTAAATATTTCCGGGGAGGAGGGCACGGCGGGGATGCCGCTCGGCTGAGGCGACTGCATCGCATCCGACTCGCGCGAGGGCGCCCGCGGTATGTCTATCCTTCTCGGCGACGCATGCGGGGTGGGCAGCCTTCGGTGCACGCTCAAATCTTTAGGTTGGTCATCGCTCTTTTCTGACAAACTATCCTCAGTGTGATTCGTTGTTTCTGCCACAGTCGCAACGACATTACTCACATGCTTTATACTCGTATCTACGTGCTTTATGCTCAAATCTGTCGGAGCGAACTCCTCTGTGTTCGTTGTCTCCACGAGCTCCTTGGGAAACTCGACCTCCGACCTGATGGACGACTGAATGTTGTCGTCGCACATTTGTGTATGATCCAGATGCGTTTTATTCGCGGGTTGTTCACAGGTTATATCACTCACTACTGACTGGTTTGGCGTTTCGGTTGGCACAACTATTTCACTTTGATCGGGCAGCGCTTGCGCTTGTTGTACAAAAGATTTCTCGTCGTAAGTCTTTTGAGGTTCAGGTACAGGTTCAGCATACATAATGTCGGTAGCCTCCACGGTATTTTGTAGCCTCTTCTCGGCGTCCGCCTCGTACTCCAAGTGGTTCACTTCGTCGCTTCCCTGCATCTCCGTGCTGGCGTTCAACGTGTCCATCGGACATTCCGTCGTCGGTTCCTGACCGAACACTTCATCGGATATGTAATTTTGTTCCACAGATTGTTGATGATCCGAGGGAGGAGGGAGATGATCGCCTATGTGATGTAGATGCAGGAGTCCCTGGGCGGCGGTGATGCTGCTGCGGCCGGGGGACTCCAGCGACTGCTCCAGTCTGTCGATAATGTCCGCGACCGGCGCCCCACTCAGCAGAATGTCCTCCTCCTCCTCCACGTAATCCCCTGAGCCGTGAACTAAATGTGTAAACTTATCGAGCGCCTGCCCGAGGATCTGGTTGTCCTCGCAGCCCTTTTCCACCAGGGACTCCAGCAGCTCCTCGTCGTGGGGGCCGCCCAGCTCCGGCAAGTAATGGGCCTCGCTGATGGTCTCGAACAGGTCCTTGTGCACGACCATGTCGTTTTGGAAAGCGTCGTCCTCGCCCGCGCGCTCGGGCGCGTGCGACTTTCTGTCGAAGAACAGCTCGTCCGGCTTCGGCTCGCCGAGCTCGAACGACATGACGTCCCGCGCGACCGCCTCGTCGGGCAGGAAGGGGTACTGCGCGGCCGCGCTCGCCTGCAGCTCGAGCTCCAGCTCCTCGCCGCGCTGCTGGTTGAACTCCAGCTCCGCGACGGCCAACAGGTTGTCGAGCGGCGTCGGCTCCGCGGGCGGCGGCGAGCGCGACGGCGAGCGCGGCGCGGCGGCGCGCGGGACCGCGATGGTGTGCGAGGGGATGTGCGACTCCAGGTCGGGCGCCCACACCGGCGCCGGGGCCGGCTCGGGCCGCGGCGGGCGCTCGCGGCGGCGGCGGGAGCGGCCGGAGCGGCGGCGGCGGCGGACGCGGGCGGCTCGCTGCGGCAGCGGGCGGCGGCATGGGCGCGGGCGCGGGCGGCGCGAGGCTCGCCGCCGCCGCCGGGCGCCCGCGGTCGCGGAGACACTCCGGCGCGCCGCACCGCGGACAGGCGACAGGCGACGACCGCGCGGACGCGGCCCCGTGGCGGACTGAGCCGGGCGCCGCGCGTCGCCCCGCCCCCGGCCCGCGCGGCCCGCCCAGCATCGATCGCCGCCCGCTGCAGCCGCCGCCTGCACCCGCATGTAAACACGCGCCCCCCGCGCGCCGCCGGGCCCCGGGCCGCGCGCCCGGCACGCCCCCGGCTCCAGCGCTCCCGAGCCGAGCCGGCGGTCGCGGGGCTCCCGGTAATGATTGGCATCGACGCGCGGTAATGAGAGATCGCCCTGTGCCCTCGCTTCTCCCGTCCGCGCTTTGCGGTCCGCTGAGCGTTTCGCGCTAATGACGTGACGGACGGGCGCGTGTAGTCGCGCGGTATTGTTTGGGGACGCGCATGAGACGAAGCGGGAATTGATTCCCTGAATTGGTTCGCTGTACTCACGGTCCCTTCGTCCCTCCGGTTTCCGCACATACGCATCCCATGATATCCGCGTTCGATTGTTCCGACTCGGAGCGTAAGCTGAGCCCGAGTGTTTTGAATATCTACCTATAGCCAAAGAGGCAACAAGTAACGCTTGGAAGCCTCCTCGATCGATAGTGGCGAGTGGTGTCCTCTCGACGCCCTCTCGGCGTACTCGACGAGAGAAAAGTTTGTAACGTACCCACTTATACAAAAGTTATCGTACGTATAAGGTACTCACCGAAACTTGAAGATGGCGCCACTAGCTTCAAGAAAGTATTGTAGAGGGCGGGGCGGTTGCTCGTAACTCGGAATCAATAAATTGTTTTGTTTTGTTTCATCTTTCACTTGTTTTTTTTTCATAACACATCGACGTCAAGCGACTTGAGTAATTAATTGTTTTCACTTTATCTCCAGTGAATCGAAAATTTTACTTGTGTGTCAATTTTAGGTTCAAAGGATACCGATTTAGGACCGTAGGTATTATAAAACGATATCTACACCCAAGAAAGGTCAAGCACGTAATTTATCGGTCATGATATAAATTGAGTTTTAGAACACGAGGCTCATTGAAGATGGACTCAATCGATTAGACTCGACTGTCGATATAGCTAGAGCATGTAGCTTCAATAAATAATAACCCAATGTAGGTTTAAATTCTATATTTATTGCATAATACTTTGGTATAGAATATGGAATAAGTTTGTGCACATTTTTAGTTACATCCACCTATGTTGTAAGTATTCACCTTGATATGCCGACGTCTGTTCAACTATTTTTTATTGACAATTTTCTCGACTGTTAAATCTATTAATCTCAATAAAGAAAGCAGCGATATTTTTTGGGGTTAATTGTAAAAGGTTTTGAGTATCCGTTTAATAAATATACAATTTCAAAATACAGCAAAATACAAATAATAGGGATGTTTCCTGGGTCAAAAAGCAAGAGTTTTAATTAGTCCGTCAGTTAACTTATCAAAAAATACTCTACACGTATTTTTCACTTTTTCAAACTAATGAAAAATTAAAGAGATAAAGCGCGCCAAAGTTCATAAGAAGAGGCCCGTGACGTCAATGAGTGCATAAAAGTGCCGCACTTTGTGACGTCGCGCGGAACTTCAACGCACCATAACTATGTAATTATTTGTTAGATTGACAAATAAAAATATAGGTGTCCAATATTTTTTGATATTAAACATGACGGACTAAAAAAATTTTTTAGGAAACTAGCCTATTTCTCCAAATATCTTCTTATCATGTTTCTCGGCGATACCTTCTCAAAACTATTATAGTTGTTGCAATTCACGAAGGCGAGTGAGCTTTACACGTGTGGTGGCTCGCTACTGTTCGTTGTTCAAGTTTTGATAGACATAACACTATCGTTACGTGCATGTACACACACAAGTAAAGCTCAAAATCAAAATTATCTTTATTTGTTTAGACTCACAAATCGTCAAATGCTCTTAAGGCGATTAGAGTCCTCAATGACCTTGGGCGTTTGACCTTCACGCCGCGAGCAACACCCGCGTACCCCGCACCAAAAACTCCGATTTGACACCGATCAAAAATACACGGGCATAGGTAGATACAGAATAGAAGCTCTTTCTTCATACATTACTGCCTATTATTTTAAACTTAAATTGATGAACCTTGATGTCGGTGTCATTTAACTCAGGCGTAAAGGTATTTAATAAAAATAACAAAATCCATGAACATTTTGTACGGGATAAAATTTTATTTTATTTTTCGTAAATTTTCTAATGCTTTTGTCGGTTCAGTCGTTCTCGAAATTTGAACAAACCCGACTTTATTACAAGCTTTTATTTAGCTTGCAATTTATGATGTATGGGACACCCTGTATAAGCAAGTACCTAATGTTATGTAAGTACGCTACTTTGAAAATCATGAGTCTTCAATTCTCTAAGGTAAACTGCAGGGTCTGATGATGGAGCTGGAATGTGGCCTTAAAAATAGGCTAGTTTCTTAAAAAAAGACTTTTGGTCCGTCAATTTTACATTATCAAAAAATATTGGACACAGGATATTTTTATTTGTCAATTAAACAAGTAATTACGAAGATATGATGCGATGAAATTCCGCGAGACGACACAAATCGCCACATTTTTAAGCATGCCTTGACGTCATGTGCCTCATCTTCTGAACTTTGGTGCGTTTCATCTCTTTAAATTTTCATAAGTTTAAAAATGTGAAAAATACATTTAGAGTTTGTTTTTGGTAAGTTCACCGACGGACTAATTCAAACTATTGCTACTTTCTTGCTTTATCCACGAAACATCCCTATTCTTCGAAATTATTAGGGTAAGGTGGTGTAAGAGTGCGCGGGCGATAAGAGTGCGCATCGCACGTCACGTCGACCCTGGGAGGGGTATGCGGCTAGCTTTAGTTGTGTTTTGATCTGTTGGTGATAAAGGTTACACTGCCGAAAAAAAACGAAATTGGTTAAAAAACGGAGATACCACGTAAGTCGAAACTTTTTTACTCGTTTTGATCTAATTTTATTGCGTTTGGCAAAGATTTCTGTTCGTAGACTTTCAGTTTAACAAAATTATTCAATTTTTATGCAAATAGCTTACCTATTTAGCTAACCGATTCATTTGAAAAACTTGCCCGAAAACTCAATAGATGGCCTGCTTCAATTTGTTTGAAAAGGGTCAAACGTATAAGAGTGCGCACGGAGTGTGCGTATAAGATTGCGCGCGCACTCTTATACGACATTTATTTACCGAAGTGTTGTGGGTAAAATAAAAAGTCATTTATTATGCTTATATTTTATTTTGTGTATTTACAGCATGTCTCGGAGAAAGAGAACTTCTTCCCGACAAAACAATACGAAGAATGAAGTTGTAAAAGAGTTCAGGTACCATTTAAAAACATGTACTTTGAATTAACAGCAAAGGCATTGCGTGGGCTCGCTTTTGAGTATGCTCAAGTATATGATATACCAAACAGGTTTAATGCAGAATCTAAATTAGATAGAAAAGAATGGTTGAGGTGTTTTTGAAGAGATATCCTGATATATCATTGAGACAACCAACTGCTACAAGCGTTGCTAGAGCTATGGAATTCAACCAGGCACAAGTCGAGAACCTATCACGGAAGATTGGATCGAGTGCTCAGTGTGCCGGCAATGGTGGCATGAACACTGTACTGGCTACTTAGGCCAAGGACTGTATACGTGCGACTTGTGCATTAAGAATTAATCCGCGCACTCTTATACGACTCAACGCGCACTCTTATACACCTGGGTGTATAAGAGTGCGCAATTTTCATTTTTTATATATCTTCAGTTCCTACCTTAACTAATAACATAAGCGTGATTTGTTCTTCTATAATTTGTTGACAGATAAACAGAGTTAATAAATAAATAAAGTTGATTTTTCTAAATGTGGTATTTTATTTTTTATGGGGTCTCAAAATTAAAGTGCGCACTCTTACACCACCTTACCCAAGTAATGTTCGATTGAAAAACGCAACGTGTCATTTAAAGAGTAAAGAATTCCTAATCTATTCGTGCAAAAATCTTTTAAATTAACATAGCCGTTTTGGAGGAGTAGGGAATTTTAGTAAAAAATCGATGTCCCGTATTTATTTTTTTAATCCAAAACAAAGAGACGTAGCGAAAATTCAAACGTCACAAATGTAGTCCTTGAACTGTTGTATAACATATATTTTTAGGGTTCCGTAGCCAAAATGGCAAAAACGGAACCCTTATAGTTTCGTCATGTCCGTCTGTCCGTCTGTCCGTCTGTCCGTCTGTCACAGCCGATTTACTCGGAAACTATAAGTACTACAGTGATGAAATTTGATGGGAATATGTGTTGTATGAACCGCTACAAAATTATGACACTAAATAGTAAAAAAAAGAATTGGGGGTGGGGCCCCCCATACATGTAACTGAGGGATGAAAATTTTTTTTCGATGTACATACCCGTGTGGGGTATCAATGGAAAGGTCTTTTAAAATGATATAAAGTTTTCTAAAAAACATTTTTCTTAAAGTGAACGGTTTTTGAGATATCAGCTCTCAAAGTCGTAAAAAGTATGTCCCCCCCCCTCTATTTTTATAACTACGGGGTATAAAATTCTAAAAAAAATAGAGGTGATGCTGGTATTTAACTCTTTCAACGTTTTTTGGTTTGATCAAAGTATCTCTTTTATTTTTTTGGTTGGGTTGATTTAACTGTAATTTTGGTTATATTTGCTGCTACGGAACCCTTTGTGCGCGAGCCCGACTCGCACTTGGCCGGTTTTTTCAACTATTTCTATCCAGCAGTAAAAGAGGAGTAGGCTTTACAAAATGCCCATTTGGCGCGGATTGAGGACTCTAATCGCCTTAAGGAGCCTACACATGTCTCATTCTTTTTTTTCCCTACCAGCGCTTCGAGACAAACATTCACTCTCACTCACAAACAAGGAAGACAAACATTCATTCTCGCTCACTCGCCTTCGTGAGTTGCAAGAACTATACTATTAAACTAAATTACATAAATACTCCAATAACACTAACATATCACAGCGCCCTCTCGCGGCGTTTCGTTTGGTACTCGTGAGCCGCCTGCAGAAGGTAAACGGAACCCATGACGACCACGAGACCGGTTCCAACAGCCACTGTGTAGTAGTGGTCCAAATCCCCCACTGGGACGTCCCATATTAATGGCTCTGTCACCTGGAATGGGACAGCGTGTGAGGTAAATGGAAATTTGGGACGGCGTGGAGCCTGTGCGTTTTTAAAAGCAATTTTTAGGTTTTGTAAATTGTTGTGATACATTGACTAGGCGTTTCTATTTGATATTTTTATGTAAGCTTCTATTGTTACAACCATTTTGTAAAGCTGCCATTAAATTGTTAATCTCGAATACTGTATCAGTAAAATACGTATGTGTTATCAGTAAAATTTTAACAGAATGAAAAAAGAAAAGAGGCATACTGTTAAAATTAATTTCAAAGGATAAATAATAATCCACTGCTTCCAGACAAGAACGGGGATTGCAAGTTAAAAAACATTTACACATAAATTAAAAAAAGCAATTGATTTACCATAGTGAAAGGTATTTGTTTCCAGCTGCATTTCTCCTTCGAGCTTCCGTTGCACAGGAAAGTGTCAGGCGACAGAGCCTTATCGCACACGTCCAACCGTTGATCTGGACACCGGAGGTATAGTTTTGGTGACTTTACTGTATTTCTTGCAGTGCTGCAAAGAATAAACGAAAATATTTCCCTTGAATAATATATTCTTTATAATATTTTCCTTTATACATAGTATTTAATTTTTAAAGCTTCTTAAATTAATAAAACCCAAAGCTTAAGCATACAATAAATGGGCTAAACTAACGAACCATCAATAATCTATTTTATTTTAAACAGAATCTAGTGAAAAACTGATCGTTAAGGTAATTCATTATGTCTAATGATACTATTCCTACCACTGCAACTCTTGTGATAAATAATCAACCAGTGAAAGCCAAGCCATAATAACTAGAAAATCAACAAACAAATAACTTACCCACCACCTTTAACTGCTTTGTGGTATCTAGCATGCACGGGCAACCATAGATACGCCTTGTCCTGTTTGATTCTGCCAAAGATGTACACATTACTCGACTCCGACTCTTCCGTTGGCAGTTCTATGTTAATCCTGTTCTTGGTTACTGCATTTAACTGGAAAGTAATTGGTATAACAGTGTAATAATCAAAACGTGAAGTTTATTTGATATCAATATGCTACAGTATAATAGGCCAATAATCATAAGTAAGTAATTCATAGATTTTCATCGATTTTATGTAGCTAAAGTTGAGCTTGTACCAAAAAAGATACTTAAATTGAATAGAATTTATTCATTTGGTGAAATCATAGTATGACATTGTTGTTATTGAAGCCAAAGGCTCTCCAAGATAATATTAGCTTCTGTACTAAGCATACCAGCAATCATAGTTTTCTTACTTGTCATCATCATCATCATCATCATCATTTTAGCCATAGGACGTCCACTGCTGAACATAGGCCTCCCCCAATGCTTTCCACGTTGATCGATTGGTAACAGCCTGCGTCCAGCGCTTCCCTGCTACCTTTACGATGTCGTCGGTCCACCTACTTGTAATATCATTTATTTTGTTTGTTTGGTTTACCTTTTTAATTCTCCTGAATTCGTTCAACTCATCTGGGTTTGAGTAGACTCCAGGTGGGAGGGGCTGGTCTAGCGCAACTATACAACCTCTGTACAGCCAGATATCTTCTTCTTTATCAGTGTTGAAGACAATCCCATAAGTTATGTTCCTGAAATATTATTTGTTGATCCATTTAATTTGCTAGTAAGTTAGGTATTTATTATTATAAATACTTGCTTAGTCACTTATCATGCATCTCAAAAGATATGGTACAGTTTTATGGTAATTAAAAATAGTTATTTACAATTTAGTTCAGTTTATATTGGACAACTTTGATATTCATTTTGATAGTAAAAAGCGTGTTAAATCTAAACAGGAATAAGAATGGACGATGGTTTACCTGTGAAATCCTTCATTTAGTAGATTTTGTTGCACTTTGATGTTAAAATCACAAGATTTTTTAGCCGAAACATGTGTGGTAAAATACAAACACAAAAACACAATGTTTACGAGGAACCTTGAATGGAGAACACTCATATTGGAAATATAAGCTGTTTACAACACCATTATTATGTGTAATTTATCGCACAATATTATAATACAGTAATTAATGAATAAAAAAGAAATTTAATTTTATCGCACAACAAGCGATAAATTCTGAACGAAATTGTCGGAATTTTTTGACATTGACAGATGGAAATTGTGACAGTTGATTTTTAATCATAGAGAATGTAGACAGTGATCAGAGAAAACATTACTGTAAAGTTTCGCAATCAAAGAAGTCCGTAAAAATATTATAACGAAAAATCATTCATTTTAATTTTTTTTTCATTCATTCATAGGTTTCAATCCCAACTAATATTATAAATGCGAAAGTAACTCTGTCTGTCTGTCTGTCTGTCTGTTACGCTTTCCCGCTTAAACCTCGCAACCGATTTTGATGAAATTTGGCATAGAGATAGTTTGAGTCCCGGGAAAGAACATAGGATAGTTTTTATCCCGGTTTTTGAAACAGGGACGCTGTCATTCTGTGACAGACAAAAATCCACGCGGGCGGAAAGCTAGTTAAATTAATAAAAACGGAAATGTACCAATATTTCTCTTAGCTCTTGCTGAAGTCCTGAAGAAATCAACAACATCCAGTAAAGTTAACCAAATAACATTGTTACGCTGATTGGTTCTAATGCAGTGATGGTTGCTGAGTGAGATTAGGTACATGAGGCCCAACCACAGCAATACCACAGATAATATAATACTAGGCAATACTGTGGCCTTAACATAGTAGCAGCAGCAGTTAGACGAGTAATCTCTGAATCTGGCTCACCTTATGAAACATAATTACAAAAACATGTTAAGTCGCATTTGCGTGAATAAAATAAGTAGGCGTTTTTTTAAGATCCTGAAGGTAAATAAAAAATTGAAGCTGCTAAATATATAAAAACTAAATGAAAGCTTATAACAAATTGCAAGATTTGCAAGTTATGATGTGAGGGTAGGTGAAAGTATTGGTTAGTGTAGCAGTTTTATTGATTTCAATTATATTAATAAACCGCTAAATTAATACAGCAGTAGGTAATATATTTGTCACTGTTTAATACATATTTATTTCTTGCGTATTTTTTACAGCCTAGGGCTCACACGTCTTGCCCCAAGTCTGAGGGATCTAGGGCTTAAAACAAAAGGTACCGTAATGTAAATAATTAACCTATAATAGGTACGTAATAGACGGCCAAAATGTAAATAAATCATGAGGTTTGTTTTGATGTCTTTTATTTTTCGACATTTCAGCTAATTGATAGCGTTTAACGTGCTAGTTAAATTAAACTAAACAGCCATCAATGTGGTTAGCCTTTTGGCGCCCAGTTTCGATTCAAACATTTTTTATTTTTGAATCTCGTTAGAGGCAAAGGCATCGCGTGCGTTCTGACCTCTGCAGCGCGGGCGGCTCCGGCTGTGCCTTGAGTCATTGAAGACCGAAACGGAGTAGGGCGACCACGTTTTCTTTTTGAAATTCGAGTCCGAGCCGAAATTTTACTTAGCCTATACTATCTAGTGCCAGAACTACGGTTAGGAAACCTATTTTGATTGTATATTTTATAGTGATGTTACTTTGTTGGTAACTATTTCAGTTGCCGATTTATACTTAATCAAAAATATTTTGTCAGATGAAGTAGAATTAAAATACTTAGTAGAGACCGAATTTGTGACCGTCGTGACTGCGAAGTTGTGGTTCCCGGTATCTGAAAAGTATATGTTTTATATTTTAGGAAAACAAAACTTAGTAACTTACCGAATGCTGCGAGACGGCTGGAAACTGTGCTTGGGAACCTGAAACAGAAAAATGTATTTTAATAAATTATTTATTTTTGTACAACTTATTAAAACAAACCTTTGGGTTTTAACCTTCTTTGCGAGAATGCAAAGAACTTATATAGTACGCTTACCTATGTAATTTAGGTATAAGTAGGTACGGTTGCTTTCTTTTCGAAAAGTCGATGTATTGCGTACGAATATCATAATTACTACCATTTCCTTGCTCACTAAAGGTTATTAATACTACTACTACAATTTTAATTGATTACATATTAAGTTAGCCACTAGCATTTTGCTTTCTTTAAACTGTGCTATGCCCAATAAAAACTTCAAAAATATGGACACAAGAATTTATTGGCATGTGACCCGTGGGCATTACCACGCTTCACATCTCATTCATTTCTCGATCCCAACTTATTTGTGTTTTGTCTCTGTCTGTCTTCACTTTTACGAAAAGGCGGGCACCACCACTGAGCGACAAGCATACGAGTTGGCCACTTGGTACGACCGTTGATCAGAAAGGCAATCACGAAGCCGGTTACCTCAGTTTACGTTTGCCCATACTACTCGGTACTCGTGTATTTATTTTAACGTAACCTTTACATAACAAAAAGGTGGCTGTATAGTTGTTGATCATCGTCGTAGGCTGTCCGTGGAGAGTTCCTCAGGTGCGTACTATATTTTTTATTATTTTTAATCTGTGAAAACAAAGTGTACAACTTTTTCCGCGTGGAAACCTCTCTCGGTTTACACATTTGAGATTCTGTATCTAGGCCCAATCTAGAATGTAATGTTATTCCCAATAAATACTGACTACAAATTAATTATCCATGCTGCGTATCTATTCCAGCAAATTGGTTTGTAACGGTTAATACATTTTCATCATAGGACATTAAATATAGAGTCACACATTAATTTTAAGAAATGAAAAATTACACATATCTTGCAATGAATTTATCAGTTAAAATTAAATGGGAGCTTATTAAGACAAGACAACGTGCCGACAATACGGCATTTTATAACATTGGAAGTTTATACGACTGTTATTAAAAAAATTGTAACTAGCCATTTATTATTTAGATGAATGACCCACAATGTAGAGTTGTTCTTTGAGTATCATTGTTTTAATCTTATGCACTTTAATAAGACCTTTCTGTTCTTAATTGATTCCTTGTGAACAGGATACAGTAGAGTCAAAGGTCCTAGGTGAAAAGTGCATCAAAATAAGACGTAACCTAGATAAGTAGTTGACAGCAATTATTTTGTGTTTTGAAGGCATGAATTTTGATAAGAATTATCCTACACCTCCACTCTATTTTTACAAAAAAAAAACATCACATCGAGTTGATAAATTGAAATGAAACAGAATCGACAGAGATCAAAGTAGAGTCAATTAATATTCTGTTAAATGAACATTAATGATCTTTGGTTATTACAACTACAAAATAAGGATTACTTATTCAATTCATCTTCGTAATGTATTTATACGAAACCCTAAAGAAAATTTCAGTTTTGATTGATTACCTTGTACATCTAATCTTATATTATTTATTTGCCGCAATGAAAAATCTTCATTTTAAAGTTTATCTTGCCCGCCTAATAAAACTTTTTTCTCTCTAATTGGAATAAAAATATTTCAGTGAATTCTACGAATAGATTCTTTACCAAAATTGTTGCAAAATAAACTTTGATTTTTATCAATTTTGTGGATAATTTAGTTTACAAATAATTTCACGAAATAAGTTAGACTTGTAGGCATCACTCTCTCTTGATTCTTTAACGAACGTATAAGTACAATAGAATTTGCGTGCCTTTATTTATTTAAAATTAAACTTTTCACATTTGTGAGAGTGTGAGAATCCAATTCGGTAAATGGTTTATAACGTAAGTTACTAAGCATTATTTAATTGCTTAATATAATTTACTCTGTAACCCTGGTTTCCCTAAAATGAATATTATCTGATAAATCGTATTATCTAGGTACTTAACGTGCATTGTAGTGTAAACAGAGAACATAAAATACAGGGTGTTAAGAAAATCAATCAGGTCATTATGTAGGTGGGCAAAGCAGTGTTCTACTTTTAATATCGGACTCGTTGATAAGAGCAATAAGCTTAGAACTTTACTATGGTAATAAAATTTATCTAACTAGAGCGATATTGTAACGCAGGGAAATGCTCTCTCGGTAAATAGAATACGAGAAATAATATTTCCTGAGTCTATGTAGGTACTCAGAAAAAATATTTGCTCTGATATTCAATCTTCATTTTTCATCCCTTTGGTTATGGAGCACAATAACGATTATTTGTTAAAGAACTGTTAAATTTTAGATTCTTTGCGCTTTTTGTTGAGTAAATTTAAAGAGTGATTTAAAAACAATCTTTGCTCAAAGTTCTTCTTGATGTTAAAACATTTTGTAGTCACTTTATCAATGCATTTTAATGGTATGATTAATGTATTTGAGTGGGACATTTTATATTATCCACATCTCTCGGTGTGTGACATAATTTTGAAATGCCTCACCAAACCTTAAGCCTTGTCAGTTTGTTTTTAAACTCGTTTCCATAACACTGATCAATTTATTTATTTATTCACACCCAATGAACCCGACCAGCCTTTCGGGCCGGTTCTGCCGGTCTCACCCAAACTTAAGGTGGTAGAACACCCAGTATTTTTTTAAACTAGCTGTCTGTGGATTTATAGTAGCCCTCGCAGACTATTGCTTTGACTTCCAGTTTGTATGGGTATCGTTGTAATTCATACTTGTTCAAAGTGATTGACAGCCCGACCAAACCACAGATGACCAAACTACGAGTATCGACCGAAAAAGGTCTGTAGTCTGCGACTCTTAAATCTCATATGCCCGTTTTCACCATCAATCTCTAATTTTTAAGTGACCCCTATGGTAACATATAACGGGAATTTTATTTACATAGGGGTTACTTAAAAATTAGCGTGATTTAAGAATCACGCTCTATATTTTATTCTCTTGATAATATAATGAATCTGCATTTTTATTACTAAATGACATAGTAGGAAATAGACCAAGTTATTAACCTTCAATAATAGAATTTAATCATATGAGTTTATTACTTGCCAAATCAGTAAGAGCTTTTAAATCGATTGACCATGGATATTAATGGTCATGGCTAGTGGGCAGTAATGGACACAAATCATTAACTTTTCATTATGTAATTTAATGGTAGGTAGCTACTTATAAAATCGGTTCTCTGATTGAATAGGCACGGAGTCAAACCTCTTTGGAAAGTTGTATTAGGTCGACAGATTTATTGGTAACAGAAGTACGAAGTACACGGAAAGAAAAAAGTTTCGATTTGA